GCCTCCGTGTCCCCTGGGTCCCCATGCCTCCGTGGTCTCTGGGTCCTGCCTCAAAGTCCCCCTGCCCCCTGCTAGGACAAGGCAGCCTTCTCATCACAGGGCAGTGGCAGCACCCACTGGCAGGGCTTGGGTCCCATTTTTGCCAAGGACAGTTTCCATCCTTGCCTCCCGGATGGGCACCAGCCCAGGGGCCTGTGCGAGGAGCTGGGGGGTAGGGGGAAAGTGAGTCACTTCAGGGAGGGGAACACCCACCTTCCGACCCTGACTTTTGTAGGCCATCCTCGTCACTGCCCAGTCCCTGCAGCTGCTCCCACTGGCTGGTGCAGGCCGCAGCCAGCAGCTCTCTCACCGCCCGCACGGCTTGAGAGGACTTGGTGAAGCTGAGCTCCCTCGGGGGGCCAGGCCCCGGGCCGCACCCCTCCTCCAGGGCCAACCGTAGTGCCAGGAACTCCTGTCCCAGACAGACACCAGCTGAGGCCATGTTGGTCCCGTTCTGCCTGGTCAGTGGGCAGCCTCCGTCCCTCCACCCCATTCCCCCTCCGGCTTACAGAGCTGTCCTGACCTGCAGATAGCTGATGGAGTCAGCCTCGGGCACCTGGCTGAGGTTGTGACGGGCTCGGCTCAGGCGGCCTCTCTGCGCCTCCTGGCGCCGCAGGTCGCCCTGGGAGCGGCTCAGCATGGTGGCCTCCCCCTCATCAATGAAGCCCAGCACTTCGGTCTGGAATCTCTGCAGGGTGGCCGAGGCCTCTGCAAACAGGCGGCTCACTCTCTCCCGTTCTGCAACGGCTGCACTCTGGCAGGATGACACAGAGCGCATGAAGGTTCTGCTCCCATCTCTCCCTGACCCACCCTGCCCACTCACTCCTCTCGGAGGTCCTTAGGGAACAGCCAAGCCTGCCTGGGTCTGTGCCAGGTCAGGAGACGCTTATGGCTGGTGGTTTGCTTGGTGTGGATCATTCCACCATGGGCGTCCACCCCGCCTAGACTCTGCTGCAAGAAGGGAGGGGCCTGACCTTGATGAGGGCCACTGTGCGCCGGGATTGGGCAATACCAGCGCCCAGCTCGTCCATGCGGTCCTCCACAGCGCTCATGACTTTGGATTGCTCAGCCTGTGGGTGACACCATTGTGAGGTCAGGATCAAACAGAGGTCACAGTCCAGGACCCACCACGGGGGAGGAGAGGCACCCAGTGGGCTCTGCACATGCTGAGCGCAGGAGACGCCATAATGTCTCATAATGCCTAGAATAGCTCCGGGCACTGCTTCCCCGTCTCCCTGGGGCCTCAGCAGATAGATGGGACGGAAGTGTCTCTGCCCAGGCTGGTGCCATCCTCAAATGCACATGGGGTGCAGTGCATGTCTGTGCTGTGGGCCCCTGGACCTTCTCTGAACGGTGGGGCAAGCATGGCTGTGGGTCTGAGAACTTCCCGGGAATGAGCAATGCCAGGCATAACAGGGCACTCAGCAGTCCTGGGATCCCCTAACCTCTGGATCTAGACCTGAAAAAAGGGGATTCCGGGCAAATCCGTCGGAGTTGAGTCACAGCTTCAGGCCGGAGAGACGGAAAATCCCAAGGCCAGAGACGTCAAGACCGGGCTGGACGCCAAAGGAAACTGGGGGCGGAGGAAGGCGGCAGGCTGCGCACCCGCTCCCTCCAGGTCCCCCGATCAGCTGGACACAGTCAAACTGTGTGCAGGGCCCGGCTGTCCACACCCATCCACTCCCGCTCCTTCAACCCCAGGCCACCAGAGCCCGGACCAGAGCCTGAGCCAGGCGCCTCTGAGCCCAGGAAGCTCGTTCGCCTAGTGGAGTTCCCTCCACCGCGCCACCCCACTGGCTAGCTGACCGCCCTGTGCGTCCCTTTGGCATTCCCAGTAGGTGCTTCCCTCCCCACTCCCTTCCCCCTGGCCCTGAGCTGATGACACTTCTGAGGTTGGATGGCAACCTCCAGAATCCCCCACTAGAAGAGGAAAGTAAGACCCGCGCAGGAAAGGGCTGGCAGGCCCGGGCTGGCCTGGCTACCCCCGCCCCGCCCCCGCTCCAGGTCCGCGGCCCCGCGGCGCCCACCTCTTGGAGCGCGCGCTCCTGCTCCAGCGGCACCAGCTCGTGGCCGCGGTGCTCCTGGGCGGCGCAGGCCTCGCACAGGCACACGCGCTCCGCTCGGCAGTAGTGCTCGAGGGGCCGCAGGTGGCGCGGGCACAGGCTCTCCTCCAGGCGGCGAAGCGGCAGCACCAGGCGGTGTCCTCGCAGCGCAGGGCTGCGCTCGTGCGGGCCCAGGTGCGCCGGGCAGAAGGAGGCCAGGCAGGAGAGGCAGGAGAGCTTGGCCGGCAGGGCAGCGCCCTCGGGGCACGCATCACAGCGCACCGGCTCTTCATCCGCGGGCCACGACTCGGGAGCGCAGGGGGCCGACGGCTCCGGGGCGCTGGGCGGCGCGCTGGGCGCCGAGGGCTCAGGGCCCGGGCCTTTGGTGAGGCCCGAGCCCTGGCGCATCTGCAGCAGCTCGGACAGCGTGTGGTTCTTGCGGAGCTGCAGGCCGTCGGGGAAGGGCTCCTGGCACAGCGGGCAGCGCGCCGTGCCCCCCGGGCCGCTCGTGCCCCCTGAGACCCCCGCCCCGCGGTGAGGCCAGAGCGCGCCCAGGCAGGCTAGGCAGAAGTTGTGGCCGCAGGGCAGCGTCACCGGCTCCCGCAGCGGCTCCAGGCAGATGGGGCAGCTGAAGGGCCCGCTGCCGTCCATGGCTCCGCCGCCGCCGGGGCACCGCCTGCTCTGTTCCCGCCCGGGAGCGACCCAGCCCATCGGCGTCCAGCGCCGCCCCCAGGACGGAGGCCAAGGGTCCGGCCTCCGCCGCCTGGTTGAGACCGCCCCCCAGCGCGGAACACCAGCTCCTGCTGAAAGCCGAGTGCGGGCGGAGGACACCCTCCATCCTGTGAGGCTCCCCATCCTCGTCCAGGCTGGGGCTCCGCGGGGCGCTGCGCCGTCCTCCGCGTCCCGACCCCCCCATGGGCGACCGAGCTGTGGGTGGGCGGGGGGGGGGCTTTAACTCCTTCTAGTCTGTTCTTCCCCTTGGGGAACTCAGAGCCTATCTAGACTTCAAATGAGAAGTTGTCATCGTGAGAAGTGAGAAATTCAGTTCGGGCCTGTGGATTTGTCATGTGTTTTCTCCTCTCGGTAGCTGGGGTTCCCCAAGGGCAGGCATTTGTTAAAAGCATCCGACTGCACAGTTTCAAGGGTATGAGAGGCGCGCTCACTAATGTTAATCCAAACACTAGGATGATAACAGTGTTAAGTTGTGACCCAAAGTATAAACCAAGTCGCCATGTGGTCAAGCTGGTGTAAATAAATTATGGAATGAATAAATAAATTGGGAAGGACAGACACATTTTCGCATGCAGATTTCCAAATAATTTTTGTAGTGACTTTTGTAAGTGGCTTCAGATCCCTGTTCTGCAATCTGGGTTGCCATTTCACAGGATGTAAGGGGGCAACGAGTAACTTCACGGGAGAAAGCAGACCACCCCCACCTCAACCCCTGGAGGAGAGCCACGTGGACTGCAGTGGCAACGGGAATGGAAACTTCTGAGCACTACCTTCCGGAAATCCATACCCGGGTCTAGTCACAAGAACAACTAACAAATTCCAGTTCGGGAACACCCTGACCCTGTCCGCACTGCTCAAAATCGCCACAGGGTCATCAAATAGGCAACGGGAGTGTGCCTCGGTCAACACAGTGTGGTGTCCCCCCCACACACACACATGAGGTCCTGAGACCAAGGAGAGAAAAAAACTACAGATAAAGAGCTGAACAGAAGATTCCAAAAGGCAGCACGGGATGACAAAGCAAAATACTACAATGAAATGTGCGAGGAGCTAGGGTCAGAAAATCAAAAGGGCCGAACTCGTTCAGCATATCTTAAGCTCAAGGAACTGAAGAACAAATTCAAACCTCGAGTTGCTACAATCAAGGATGCTTTAGGCAGAATGTTAAATGATCCAGGAAGT